CGATTAAAAACAGCAGCATCCTTTTTTTGTATGCCTAAAACGACAAGATGTAGCACAGCATTGCTTATGCGGTAGTAATCATCACCAACTGACGTGCAGTAGTCCTCTTCTCACAGCCCACGACTTCCCGAAAGAGACGCTCTTGATCTCCCCTAAGACTAACAATGCAGTCTCGACTTTCTCATCTTCGCCGTGTCGCTACTCAGCTTTCACATCACCGCCATGCCACCACTCTTTCGGTTCCCACCACAATGGCCCACGATCCGGCCCGCAACTTCTTCCCCCTTTCTTCTCCCGCAAGCAAGGACACACCCGTTCTTCTGTTGAAGGGAGACACCGATACCATTGGCCGAGAGGTCACAGAGTCACTCGCCGAAATTTTCAAAGCCGCCAATGTACCAGTCTCCTTTGTCTCCCCGAAGGTTGACCCCAGGGTCGATGGCGGACTTACTCAAGAAGTCATCGATCTCTTCGCGGAAACAAGAGTTGCTGTGAAAGGGCCGTATTTCACACCGCTCGGCACAAAAGAAACAAGTATTAATATTCAGCTGCGAAAGTCTTTTGACCTTTTTGCAAATGTCGTCCATGCGTACAACATTCCCGGAATTCAAACCAGGCACAAGGATATTGATGTCGTCATGATTCGCGAGAATACTGAAGGCGAGTACTCGGGTCTAGAGCACAGCGCTGTGCCTGGTGTCGTTGAGAGTTTGAAAATCATCACCGAGGAGAAGAGTACTCGTATCGCAGAGTATGCCTTCCAATATGCCCTTGCCAACAATAGAAAGAAGGTCACCGTAGTTCACAAGGCAAATATAATGAAGAGTGCAGACGGCCTGTTCCTTGAGTGCTGCACAAACGTTGCCAGCAAGTATCCTTTTATTGAGTTTGAATCCATGATTGTGGACAACACGTGCATGCAGATGGCTTCGAACCCGCAGCAATTTGATGTCATGATTTTGCCAAATCTGTACGGCAACATTGTCACAAACATCGCCACTGGTCTCGTCGGTGGACCGGGGCTCTTCCCAGGCGCCAACATAGGCATTAGCGGAGCCATATTTGAGCAGGGAACTAGACATTCGGCTCGCTCCCTTGCTGGCCGACAAATCGCGAATCCCACGGCCACCATCATGGGCGGAGTGCTGATGCTCAGGTATCTCAAGTTAGAGGAGCGCGCGGAAGCGATTGAGAAGGCCGTCATGAGCGTGTTCGCAGAAACAGATATTCGAACTCGCGACGTGGCCGCGGAAGGAGCTGCAGCTGCGTCAACATCCGAGTTTACTGATGCCGTTGTTGCTGCTCTCAAGAGTTCTTCGTAGAATGCTGGGTACATGACGACCTTTTTTGGATTCGCAAGTTTTGGAGGCCTTTGCCTCACATGTCAAGGCGACATCAAGCTCTGTTATTAAGAGGATTTAAGGATTACTGTTACACTTTACAACGTTGCACCCTCGTCTAACATGAATTAAATCAGATACTCTGTACCCGTGAGGAACATCATCCTCCCAGCGAGTCTGCAAGACTTGTCAAGGATTCAGCGAGGTCTGGATCCCCGCATCGGGCAACTACTTGATCGATGACTCCTGGCAACTCTGGTGCGACTCTCAGCAGGCCTTGCTTATCTATTTCGACCAGTACTTGCAGTGCTCCAATGCCTGCTTCCATATCAGCGACATCGTCAACATCGAGGGCGGCAATGGACTCTGAAAACGCGGCAATGGCATTCCGGTCGTCAAGTAGATCTCGCACAAACTCTTCATTTCCCGTTGCCCTCGCATGTTGCATGAAGAACCTGGCTCGTCTCCTTACCAAAATGTTATCATCTGCGAGAAGACGCCGGAGAGAGATAGTGCCTCCCAGCTCTGCAAAGCGTTCTCGAATCTCCTTTGACGAATTTCTCAACAAGGCCGATGACGCCATGACAGCCTTCGCCCTCACCTTTGCGTTGAGGTCTAAGAGACATTTTGCCAAGACTTCATGTCCATCTCGCTGCATGAAGACATCTTTCACCTCTTTCAAATCCTGCAGAGCAGAGCCGAGGGCCCAGACAGCGGCAGCGCGAACTTCAGGTTCATCTGCTGCGGCACAATTTAAAATGGGTTGCAAAGCCCCAAGTTTATCGATGTTGATAGCATAATTCAAATCCACAAACATCTCCTCCAAGCCTTCTAATGCCTCGACTTTCTCCTCTGCGGTGAGCGGGTTTTTCTCGTCCGTGAGCATGGCGACGACACGTTTGACATCGGCAAACATATCAGGGAAAGCTGCGTCGAGCCATTCGCGATCGGCGGCAAGTTGCTCTTCGGTTTTCTCAGTCGCTTTGTCGCCTGATGAAGCCTGCTCCGGTTTCGTAGTGTTCGCTGTACTCCATTGCAGGAATTTGTTGAGCGAGGTGATATCATTGCCGGAAATGACACCCTGCGCTTCTTTTTCTGTCCGGGCCTTCTGCAAGGCTTCCAATGCTGCTGTGGCAGTCGAATTTGCGGACACGGGCTTACCTTGTTCCATCGAGTCTCACGAGATGGGCGCGAAGCGAAAGCAGAGCAGGATGAACAAGTTCTTTTGTGTTGCTTCGGTTTGTGGGAAATGGGGGTAAACGATAAAATTGCTCGTTTCGTCTATGCGAAATTGCAGCGGGTGCAAGAAGTTTCGTGCGATGCCAAGGACGGCGCGGTACGGAAGCTAAAGTAGTGTGTTGATGCGATGAAGGGACGCTTCGGGTGTGATCCAGAAACCTCTGCGTTGTGGTTCTTAAACGTGTCAACACGTCCCCAAATGTCATAAATTTCAGAAAAATTATTTATTGCTGAGAGAAAGGCTGCGCCGTTCTTTATAGAATCAAGCAGCGCTGGCAGTCTCATATTTGCAACCCTTCCAGTCTTCTCTTCCTCACTTGCGACCCGCGACCTGAATTCGGAGCTCTTAGTGCGTTTATGTCGCACAGTAATAACGTATCACAACAACGACCCCGAATATTTGATCTCTGTCAGAACGATGTGCGCTCTTGGTTTTCGTTCCTTTCCAGTCCAATAAGGGGATGCTGTTCTTGAGATATGAGGACAAACGTAGAGTATGGCTCCGCAATACACAAATGGCTAAACACCACATCCAAAGAAGAAAAGCAGCCGAAGTCTAGTCTTGTTGTTATCGACGACCTGCGGAGGGATGTTTTCCACACCGCCCACCTTCCCTTCTCTCCTCTTGACACCTGGTTGTGTTCTGGCAATGCGGACAGCTTCCCCTCCACTGGTCCTTGATCAGATGCATCTTCACGTGTAAAATCATGTCAGGCTTCCCCCCTTCGCCATCCCAGTTGTCTTGGGGCTGAAATGAGGCTGTTCCTCGCACAGTAGCAAAGCGGCGACGGGAGGGCTGGCCACTACCTCCCTCTCGCTCATGTTTCGTCTTATGCGCTCTCTCGTAGCTCCCCTCCCGCTCGCGCCCCTTCGGTTCCCTGTGCTTTGGGCCTGGTGATGGCGACCGAGGCATTACTTTCGGAACGCTCGGCATCCTGCGGACAATATCTTCATCGGGCTGGGAGTGGTGGGAAAATTTCGCTTCTTGACGCGCCGTGTCTGGTAGGCTTGATGAATGCACGTTCCACAATGACCTCGTTGAAGTTGATGGCCCCTCAGGTGTTCCACAGACTGGAGCGAAGCCTTCATCTGCACCCCATCTCGTCTTCTCAAACGAGACATGGGTGTTTGGGTCGAAAGAGTGAGAGTATGTTCTTGGAGAGCGGTCACGCCCCGAGGGCGAATGAGTGTTGGTTATCTGATTATACAGTGCGACGTAAGCGTGGGAGTCACAAAAAACCCATTGATGTGCCGTGCGGTAGTGGTTTGTTGAAGTTGCAGGCCTCAAGTTTGCCTATCGCAACACAAAAACTGCACAGCAAGAAAAGCAAGAGAGACAGAAAAAACCTTGTCTGCCTTGCAGTCAATGCGCGTTGCGATGCCCATATGCTGCTCCACCGGCTTTGGAACAACCTCTGATTAGCTCCATCGGCAGAACTTTTCCTGCACTGCCCATACCAATGCAGAGGAACGAAACTGGCGGGCACTGATCACATGAAGCTGAGTAGCTGATTGTTCTCCACAAAACACAGATCAAAGACGAGATGGGCTAAAAGCGAAACAACACAAGCCGCCTATCACACGAAAGTGTGCTTCACATGCATCACCTTTCAATCCCCAGGGGTGTACTCTACGTGCGTAAATATGGTGTTGCCGAAGTAGGTCATGTGCTGGCTCGGAAGACGCGTAAAGTCGGGACGTGGCCATGCATGCGGCGACCCTTGCAATGGGAAAGGTAGATGAAGGGTGGCAGATGACGTGTCCGGGAATTATTTTGTGTCATTGAAGCGTCTTGTGAATGTGTTGTTGTGAGTCAACGGAAGGGGTACCGCTGTACCGCAGCAAAAATGAAAAAGAGGTGTGTTGCACAGAGGATGTCCAGTTGTTCGCTTTGTCTTTGTTGGTATCTACTGCAGCAGCTTTCGACAGGCTTCTGACTGTGCCATTTTGTTGAAGACAGACATCACTTCTGGTTGTTTTTACGGTGCAAATGAAGGACTGTTAAAAAGACAGGGGGGAGGGAGGGGCAGCTAAGAGAAGTGTTGCTATTCAAGTGCAGTCACATTGCTGGCGGCACAGTCAACCTCCAATGGTCTTTAATCACCGTGCTACAAACTGTTACAGTACCCTGGGTACCTTGGAGTTAGTGATTATACACTGAGTGAGGCACGAGTACAGTATGTATCATACAGTACCCAAGATTAGGTCTCCTTCCCAATTATTCACATCTGTAGTCTCGTGCCGCTGTGACCAGCCTGGAGGCCCAGCTCCTCCCTGCGTGGCTCCAAACAATTTTGGTGATGTTGGGATGGTTTAACGGAAGAGGGTAACGTATCGTGTGACGAGGGTTCGGGATTGGTATTCCGTATCATTCCATCATGGCAGAAGAGGAGGAGGTGTCCCAGCTGCAGACGATGCAGCTGGTGTCGTCAGTCGAGAGCGGAACAACAAGGAGATCTCAACGGCGCTCTGACAAGGCGCACTGTCGTATGAAGGTTGTGTGTCGTATGAAGGTTGTGTAAGGGTGATGACGTCTTCTCTTCTTGGGAGAATTGATGAATACTTCTTTTTAGAGGAGGGCTCCCTTCCACGCGCCCAATCCCGCTCTCCCAATGAATGTCGTTCTCCATCTATTGGGTGCGCTGCTGCAAAAGGTTCTGCCTCCTCCGGCGCTGCTGCTCTAAGGCATGGATGATGCATCCGCCGCGCATTGCATGTCTGCTGTCGAGGAAGAGGCGAGCTTGAAGACTCTATTCGAAGGAAAGTTTTGTCCCGCTGGCTTCAAAGTGACCCAGGCAGGTCGTTACAGAGGCGCCACGGAAACTCGCCACATGACCGAAACAAATTTCCTACTGGGACACCGCCGGCGGAAGCGAATCATTCACGTGCAACTCCCACGGTTCTATTCTGAGAATTTCCGCAGTTGGCGAAAACCAAGTTTTGTAGAAAGTTGTCACCCCCTCTTCTCCTCGCAACCGAACCTTGCAGGACGTTACGCACCAGTGCTTATTGTGTTTGTTGCGACGACTACAGGAGTCCACGACCACAGCGAGACGTATTTGTACCGTTGTTTCAAATATGTGCTTGCTTGACCACGTGTCGACGTGCACGAATCAACGGCCTCCAATGGAGCATCCAACGATGACTTCCATTGTCACCAGCAAGCCACCCCCTCGTCAACATGGTAAGTGTTGGTGGCAACACTTCCCGTGCTCGTCTCCTAACTCTTGCATGGTTTCGGCCCTCCACCACTGTACCGTACTCACTCTCGTAGACTATCTTCACGCATGAACCTGTTGCACTAGGCTGTGTATGGGAATTTGCCAGTGCCACGGATCGTCATTCCATCCAGAATTGGCTGCTGGTGACAAGCACATGCTTGTCATCGCCTGCTCAAAGGAACGAAACACCGTTACATACATTCATATATGCTCAGGTTTCGTACCCCCTTGAACTTGTTTCAAAACTGCTCGCATCTGGATTGTCAATCAAGCAGCAATCGGCAAACATGTAGAGCACAAGGGATGCCACTCCTCATCATATTGTTAGTCTTTTACGTCATCACCTTGGCGTCAGCAATTCTTGCAGCATTACACCGCGGGTAATTGAGCAGTCCAAAGAGACCACAAGGCCTCAGCAGTTCCACACCGCCAGTTTCTTACGTAGGTGTAACGCTCGTTACACCTTCCAACAGAAAGAACAAGAGCAAGTGGATTACGAACTGAACCTTCGCTCATCCTTGATGTTCTCGAAGCAGACCGCTTCTCTAAACTGGATTCCAATCAGAGCTTCGTTCTTTCTTGTTTTTGAACCTATCCAACAAGTGTTCTATATTTGCACCGACCTAGCTAGAAAGCACTCTTGGATTGTCATATGAGCGAGAATCGCCGTCTTACTGCAAGGTACCGTTTGTTTTGTACTCTTCTGACGTCCACAATTGCCACACATGGTCTAAACTCTTTTTGTGACACGGTATTGTTTTCAATTAACACAACGGGCAAACAACTGACAACGAGGAGGCATATCTCACGCAGCAATCCCCCCATCTCTTCCGAGGCTTGAATATCTTGGCGCATTATCGCCCCTTCTGCATCATACTTGCATTTCTGTGCTTCACAACATGCGTTCTCTTTCACTGCTTATGGTTTCAACGTAAATCAGTATGCGTTGGCTTCTGATGCTGCTTGCTGCCAAGACAGTTTATCTCTCCTTCAGTTTGACTTCCAGCCCTCTTCGGTATATAAGAAGCGGCGAGATGTCATCACCGACACACTCCGACCCATCACAATCTTCACCTCTTCTTCATCTCCTTTGCTTCTAATCGAACTTGCGCCAAACCCTCATCGCTATTTTCTTTTCAACCAAGAACATATCCACCATGCACGGAGCCAAGTTCAACCTGTCCCTCATTGTCCTCATCGCAGCTTTTGGGTTTGCACTGGTCACAGGGGTGGCGGTACCTAGATTCACTAAGCCCGATATGCCAAAGGTGGCGAAGGCTGCGGCCAGAAGCTCGCATTTTCAGCATGATGTCCGGTCTACCGAATTACCCAAGGCTGCACGCTACAGCAGCTCATGTTCTTGCCCGTGCACTCGCGTATGTCCCAGAGTGGAAAGAGAATTCCAGCCATGCTACTGCCCTTGCTCCGTAGATTGCAGTGCTTCAAGGAGCTGATGATGATTTCCATTTTTGTCTCGCCATGGAATGTGAATGGCAGCGTCCCTTTTTAACTCAGCTGAAGAACTGAAACATCCTACCAATAACTGTCATGCGCGAGTGCGCTTTGAACCTCCCGTACAAACTGGAGGCCGGCAATGACAGTGTAACTCTGCTCTAGTTAACATAACCTTTAATATTAAACTTCGCAGTGACTTTGCAACCGCGCTACAAACCTCTATCACATCTTTAGACCAAAAGGAGCCCCGCGACTTATACTCTATCCGCCACTCCTCTCAGCTTGAGTCGAAACCCGTGCGTCCGCAGAAAAAAATCGACCGAGCTTGAGCATCATCCACATCACATCAAACTACGCACACACCCGAAACCGACTTGACCGCGGGCGTTTTACGCTGCAACCACACACACACACACACACACACACACACACACACACACACACACACACACACACACACACACACACACACACACACACACACACACACACACACACACACACACACACAC